CAGCGGCGCGTGGCTGGCGGCGGCGGCGCGGGTGCCGGCGGAGCTGTGCCAGGGCCCGCCGCGGCCGGGGCAGCGGCGGCGGCTGCGGGCCGACGAGGTGCTGCGCGCGCTGCTCACGCCGCCCGCGCGGGAGCTGGAGCGCCTGGCCGACTGCCTCTACGTCTTCTTCTGCCTGCCGCTGCCGGAGCCGGACCAGTACTACGTGCCGGCGTCCGGGCGCGGCGGCTGGGTGGCGCGCCGGCCGCCCGGCGCCGTGCTGTACAGCTACCGGCGGTCCCTCTCGCTCTCCTCCGACGGCGGCTCGTCGTCGTCCACGTGGATGGGCGGCTCCGACGAGGAGGGGCTGTTGTATTACTCGGACGACTAGGAAAGCAGCCGTGATGTGCATGTGTACTAGCGATCGTCGTGTCGGGCTTGTGTTAGCTAGGCGGTGCTGCCGTTTTGTCCGTTCCATTCTTTGTAGCAACTGTATAAACGCTGTACATATTGGTTTGGTTGGTAGGCTTCAGCGAGAAATCAAGACGGTTTTTCGCATTTGGATTCTTTGGTTTGATGAAACACTGTATAACAGATGGAAATTATGCCCGTTAGGGCAAAAAGAAACAAAGTTGTAAACGAAGAACGTTTCTTCTCCTGTCCTTGTCATGGTATATACAAAATCATGCTACTAATCGGGAGATAACTATTTTTTTAGACAAAACCGGGAGATAACCTGATGTGTTGAAGTCTTCTTTCTCCTGCATTTACCGGCGGCGTGTTGTGAGGATAGCTCCACCTCGGCGAAACAGACTTTCTTCAACCCATGAACTTGTAGAAACAACACCCGGTAACTCATCGCTGCAGACCAAAAAAATGAAACAAATTGCCGCCCCAAAGAAGGCAATGCTGATAAATGCCTGTCAAAACTCCAAATACAAAGAAAGCTGGCCGAATCTAGATGGATCCATTTGAAAACCGGCGGGACATTGGAAACCTAAACCCAGACTCGAAGACTCACTAAAGAAAGCATGGGAAAAAAATCACACATGTCGTTACACGACGGGTAGGGGTCCAATGTTGAGCTTGTCGCTGTCCAGGACCATGCACCGATTACCTCTTCTCCAATGACCTAGCCAGGTTGGGCCACCGTTGACGATTGTCGCACTGGATCACCAACTCAGTCGCCGAGCACTACCTGGAGAAGATTGTCACTCGAGCACACATCTCCTTCGCCATCCAACAAAAAGCCCTCCAACTCCTCCACAAACATGTCGCCTCGATCTGGACCTCCCCACCGACTCTGGCGCCGGCACCGCATGTGATTTTCCTGGCAACGCGCCCTAGCAGCGGCAAGAGGGGTGTAGATGGGACGACAACTAGGTTTTTGGTCATCTGGATGGTGAAAGGCGCATCTAGACTTCTTTTCTCGACGACAAGGTGAGCCTAGACATTTTTTTTCGATGGCAAGGCGAGTCTAGACTAACACAAGAAAAATGTGATTATTTAGATCTATTAATAAGATGCACACAAATACACAAAAGTAAAAGAAGTGACCAGATCTATGGACCACCTAACAAAGATGTACACAAGCACTGAGATGAGACGAAGGATGATGTCTCATTGCCCCTTCCTCATTGAAGCCGGGCAAATCTTACTATAGTTGACAATCAAAAATCGTCATGCTAAGACCTGATGAGCCGGAGAGGCAGAGCGGCACCTGTCGATGATGGAAAAAATGCATATAAGAATTCAAAAAGACCATACCTTCAAACAGACTAACAACCACGAGTGTCCAAATCCAAGCAGATCTACTGGAGATCAACGTCTGCCAAATCCAAAATAGATCTGTTGGACACCAAATTCAAATGGAATTATCGAAGATGAATGCCGAATGGATCCAAACAGATTGAAGAATAAAGCTGGCATGACGAAAGCAAAATCCATTGTAGACATACCTCCATGTACCCTCCGCCTCCACTGGAATGGGGCTAAGGCAGAGAAACACATTATTCTGGCTCTCAAACCACAAAAGGAAAAAAGCTTATGCAACATTCTCTCAAGCGACATACTCCCTCCGTCCGGAAATACTTGTCATCGAAATGAATAAAAGGAGATGTATCTACTTGTCATCGAAATGAATAAAAGGAGATGTATCTAGACATATTTTAGTTCTAGATACATCCTTTTTTGTCCATTTTGATGACAAGTATTTTTGGACGGAGGGAGTACCTTAGAAAGAAAACGAAAAAAATGCTGGAAGCCCAAAACTTCGTTGTTATTCGTCGTCTCGTGACCACGACTTTCAAAAGACCTTGTCGGTGGTAAGAAATGCCATCGCCTGGCCCTACCATGCCATCTTGTTCCCCAAAAAACAATGGTGTGCCTCAGTGGCGGAGCTTGACTGCGATGTTTGGGGCG